ACCCTTTAGTAGAATATTATTTTGAAATACAGGCAATTTTTGAGCTCTTGTAGCTGAGTTACACAGATGATTTACCTGTATTGAGGAATTTATTTTGAGATTGATAGAAACATTACTGTATAGCAATAATAATAAAACACTGTTTATAAAACAACTTACATTACAAACAGTGCTCAAATAAGGCAGTAATAAAACCACTAATAGTGAACCACAGGCAAAGAACCCTGAGATGAGAAGGCAGCAATCACACTAAGCATGGCTGTTCTAGGAAAAAAGGAAGAAATGTTGATTTACAACCAGCCTCTGAGGTGCAGATAATCATTAATAACCAGTGCCTATGGATAAATATCAGCAACCTGGGCTCTGTAACCCCATCCAAGCAGAGAGAGCAAGACCATCAAATTTTACAAATTCACATGGCTCCATGTACCTTTATAAATAAGCATAAGCATCTGAATTCCATTTTAAAAACCACACTTAGACAATCCCTTCCTAAACCAAACATGCAGGGAATATAATACAATAAAGCCATGTGAGGTTCTTTTGTTCTAAAATGAACCCATAAACAAGATTCCTTTAACTTTGTTCCAACTAGCAACTCTTGGTTCTCTGTACAACTTCCCTCATGTTTTGGGGTTTGGTGGGTTTGGGTTTTTTGGAGAAGGGGTGTCCTTTTTAATGTCAAAGGCCTCATGTTCTACAATGTTTTAATCAAGGCCACAAATTTGCTTGCTGTCAAGTAAGACTAAACATATATAAAATTAACAGCAAGGCCTTTCACAAGAACAGTTTTACAGTGTGACTGGTAACTGTGCATCAGTGTGGCAAAAGCCTTAGAACAGATATTCCTCTCAAAAATTAGGGGTTCCCCCCCCAGGAATTTGGAGGTATTGCATTAATATAAGTGACTTTAGTGTCTTAAAATGCCACAAAGAAGAGCTTCCAATATTTAAGCTCAGATGAATAGAGTCAAAGCAATCTTTGACTAACACAGTGGCTTATATCCCACACTCAAGATATTTTTTTCTTACACAACAACAATAGAGGAAAAATTAAGGTGGAAATATATGACAGTTGATGAAAAACATCTTAGAAACAAAATTGCAGTGTATTGCCTGATTCAAAATTCCAGTAACAAAGCAACTGCTTTTCATCATAATACACTGGGGTATAGGCAATAACAGTCATTTAATATTCCAAAACAATCCTATCATTCTACAAAGGCATGGTTTTCTTAATAATATTACATCCAAAAGGCAAGGAAAGATACGTTAACTGAGAGAAGAAGACAACAGTGTGGTGTGAAAATAAACTTTGGGCTCCTCATGCAGGATTAGCTCCCAAAGAATAATCAGTGCCCCAGAGAATCCAGTCCAGTCCTTGGACTGCCTGCAGGCTGCTGCAGCCTCTGCTCTGTCATCTGTGGTCACCCTGGGGCTCTCTGATGCAGCACCAAGCAAACACGAGCTCTAAAGCTCAACTGAGCATTGCAGCTCCTTGCTGAACAGCTGATCAGGACTGGTCAGAAGGACAATGAGCAAGACAGGATCACCATCTCCACAACACTCACAGGATGGATCTGCCTGAAGCCAGAGACTAAAAAGACTGAAATCTCCATGGCTGCAGCATCTCAAGCTGACACACTGAACAGTGCTTGTTAGACAAGATGGAGAAGTTTCTCTTGAGCCTTTACTTCAAATTAAGCCTACTGTCAGGGATGTGTGCTCTGCTAAACACATCAGTAATATGGGTCAATTAAGAGAAATTATTGATGCCAGAAAAAAAAAGTAATTCACATCTGCTTTCTTTATAGCAACATCTGTCACTCAGTACTGGAGACATTTATTTTGCCATATGAACAGTTGTGTTCAAAAATAAACCTGAGTTTTGCCCACCACAGCACACTGTAGGGGGTTAGTGGCTGTACATGTATCCCTAAATATTGCCACAGCATCTCACAAATATTTCACTTCTGTAACTTCACCTTTTCTGCCTCCATCATTATCACACATCAACCTTTTCCACTGACAGCAAGTAAATTAATACATGCTAAGAAATTTCACCAAAAATCATGAATCCATAAATCCATAAATATAAATAGTTATGACATTATGTATCATTCCAAATACAATCACTTAACCATTTTCTGGAGCTTTGTGAAACCTTTACACAACTGAGCACTAGTCTGCTTGCCACTACTCTCATATGACTTGCACCCTGTGACCATTTAAGCAAATTAAACAAACTGGTTTATTGTTTTTTCTAAGGAAAGATGCAACTGGTCACATAACAGCAATATTTTGCTTTTCTTTTACTAACACATTAACTGTGACAGTAACAGCACAGCAAGCTGCTGCTGAAACTCCACCTGGGAGCTCTTAACATACCTCAAAAATTCTTTTGTTTCTGTAGATGAGGCAGAATTGCAGCTATCGAGATGGGAATCAGTAAAGTCTAAACAGAATAAAGAATATATTTGGGAAACTTTTATTTTCTAACCTCTATTTCTCCTCTGGCTTTTAACTTATTCCATCACCTTGGAAATTCTTCAGTAGTCAAGTTTCTCCACCTGTAAAATGTGATGTAAAATGTGATGCTTTCTGATGTGTGAGTCTCTCAAGCTGTGTACAATTCTGACATTGTGTTGTGTTATGTGCACCTGATTCCAAGTAGGAAACATGTTCTTGCTCCCTAAATAGCACTGCATAATGATGTTTAATACAGGTTTCAGACAAAGTATGAACTAATGTCTGTAAAGGTGAATGCATTTTAAAGATGGGAGCTTGCTCTCTGATTACTTTTTCAAGATGGAAGGTGTAAGAAATAGCTTCTCTCTTCTCCCTTTTCCGGTTCTATTTATACAATTTTGTCTTAGTGGATAAGTTCCCTTGGAGCTGTGCTTATCCAGCCCATGCATTGTCAGAGGTGAAGTTACTGAGTAACAGGAAACTGGCCTCAGCTCTGCTGTGTCAGGGCTTATCTCTGCACAGGATTTACTCCTTGCTCACCGACTGCTCATTAACTCAGAGTCACTGAAACCTTTGTCAAGAGTGCTTTGAATATTCCTCACATTCATCCAGTCATTGATTTGCCTCTCTTTTACTAATAAACACCAAGGGCACAGCCAGAAATCCTTCTGTACACCCACCCAAGGCAAATTCAAAGATATAAACCCCCAGTTGCTCCTGGCCCTCAGCCAATAAATAATTTTAGTTCCCCCCCCAGCCTGCCCCCAGCAGAGCCCAGGGTTATCAATAATGGACCTATTCAAAGCACTTCAGTGGAAAGTACAGCAACAAAACCATGTTGAAGCTGTTCAGCATTGCCTTGAGTGCACAAGTGATCCATTCTGGAAGTTAAAAAGTTAAGTTGATGATCAAAACCTTCCTGAAATTTTTCAGCAATTTCAAAAACAATCTTTTCACTATGCCTACATAGTTTGCTGCGCTCTCTGCACAGCCCTGAGTCCTAGAAAGAATAAGGTGACACTTGAAATTTGCATCTTTACTGAAAAACCAACAGAAAAATAAAAGAATCATCTGATTTGCATGGAATGACAATGCATCAATGCATATTTTTTCTTTACCATTCTCAACTATAAGAATTAATTGTCAGAATGAGCCTGGATGAGGGAACAGCTCACAGGGAAATTTACATACAAAACACCTGCACTACACTGCCCCTTTGCCCAAGGTTTTCTGTAACAGTTTGGAGGAACTACTGTAAATAAAAAGGAAACAATAAACAACTTACCTACTCCAACAGACTGCTACATATGATGATCAAAACCAAAGGCTCTGTGTGAATTACAGTATTCTGAATAAAGCTCATTGGAAATCAGATTTCACAGAGCCCCTGAACTACTGAAGAACTGCTTGAGAGAATAGTTGCCTCACAAAAAATGTGAACCTTCAACCTGAAACGTTTCTGAGCTACTGCTGGAACCCAAGACCCTCCATCCAGTCTACCTCTAATCTTGAGGAAGTATCTGGAGCAGTAGTGCTAACCTTCAGCTCAAAATGTAGACCAAGTGCTAAAATATCTTCTCCAGGTAATCCACAACTCTGATTTTGAAATTCAGACTCATACACATTTGTCTCATCTCACTTGTTTCAAGTGTTTTGGCAGGTTCCATGTGTTTTTCAATGAGCCTTGTTAAAGTGCAACAAGTGGGAAGCCAAGAAAACAGAGTGCTGATGAACTGGTCACAAACTACCCTCTCAACCCACAAAAGCCACTGCAGGTTACTGAAAGTTTACAACAGAAATGCCCTTCCCCATGAGCTGGTATAGGAAAACATGAAGCTACTCATACATCCCAGCCAGACAGGCGGCACTAAAAAAAACCATGAGCCAACCCTTTCTGCTTATTTATATCTGAGGTTTTAAGAACACTATTCAACACAGCCACTGACTGATGCTGAGCCAGACCCAAAACATCCTTCATACTCCAAGTCTTGTCTTTTAACACCTCATGGTCATTGCAGAGCATCTGGAAAAATAATTTATTGCATGTACACAGTAACAGGAGTATTCCAAGAGTCAGAGCCCTTGGAAAAATAGAAATACAACTATTTTAAGCAGGGATCTAAAGGTTTGACGTGCCTTGCTTTGTGTGGAGATTTTGTTGTATTAAGCAAAGGGCGTGGTGTGGTTTTTATTGCACAGGCTTTTCCTTTTCTAGACCTCTAGCACTTCACACAGCACACGGGGAAAAAATGCAATTGCAAAGGCTGGCCAGTGAGCGTAGGATTACTTCATGAACAGGAGAAAAAAATCCACTGGATGGCCTCACATACTTAGAAATGGCAGGGACAAACACTACTTTTCTGTTCTAAAATATCTCATTGCAGAGGAGAATCTGAACTTTAAAGTCACATGATGATGAAACCATAGGTTTGCTAAACATGCAACGTTTATGGTTTGAATGACTTCAGCCAAGTTCCTGTTTCCCCTACAGAACTGCAGTTTTTAGTCAGCAAGCGCCTGGATTCTTCACCGTGATGTACAGCAGCTGAAGAAGTTACTGTAATATACACACTCTGCTTTCTACAGAAATAGAAAGGGCTATAAGCTCCAAACAATAATTGTGTTTCATCTGCCATTTCTCAGTGAAAGGCTCAGCCTGTTGTTTCTGTGGAACAATTCCTCGAAAAGGTAAGTGCTTTATATTACTTTAAATATGCAATGTTTTATTCAAGAGGCTCAAACAGTGAAGCTAAGGTTGCTAGTTTTAAATTGAAAGTTGTTAGTTTTCCCTTTTTTAGCAACATTTGAACTACACAAAGTAAAATACTGTATCTGGGAGAGGTCCTACAAAAGCAGAAATGTATAATGAGGCTGAAATTTGTGATAAAACTGAGCATTAAGTAGAGAAAACGTGAAGACTGTTTTCCAGTAAGTACTTCACTCCCGTTGAACCAATGGGAGGTGGATGATGAAATACTGTCCAGTTGTGTGGACAAACGACTCCAACCATTGCCTAAAACCAGTCTTTTAAAGGATGGACATTGTCAGATGATCTAAACCCACTACAGGCATTGTATAGGACAGGAAACAGTTCGGGGATTATGTTTAAGGCACTGTTAGCTCCTTTATATTCTAGAAAAGTAAAAACAAAAACTTTCGGTTTCTAAGGAACTGCTACTTTTCCACAAGTTAAGGGTAGGATTTCTTCAGTCTTTACGACTTCAAATACTTGCCCAAGAGCAGGAACTGAGCTCTTAGAAGAAAGATGAACATAGTATTTTATATTTTGGTCTCATACACTGCAAGCTGCCCCTCATCTTTTAACTTGGCAGACATAATGTGAACAGAAAAGACATCTCCTCTCCCCACATCACGTGTTATCTAAAGTCACTGCAGGACATCCCTACCAACAGCAGAGCTTCACCAGCAATGTTACGTGTGTTGCTTTATGACTGGAGGAAAGAATATTTTCCTTCTAAAGGCTGGTGACAGAGTGCAGAAAGACTGCCCTACCAAACCTTTTACAGAGGAAGAGTTCTGGCTGCCAGGGAGAAACTCCCCTGCTTTAGGAGCTCTTCCTTCTAGACTTTAAATAAACACAAGTCTCCTTGAAACCTCCCCTTTTGCAAAAGTTAAACATTGAAGTGGGGATGGGGAACCCAAACTCAGTGGAATCTTAGGGACTAGGTCCCCTCAGCACTGAAAGTCCTTTCACAACTTGCTATTTTTAAACCGTTTTTTGAACACTGTGCTCACTGTGATGGAAGTGAAGGGGAATGTATTCACTGTGCTTCAGAAAGTGAAAATCAAACATATTTGCTTTAACTGCTGAATTATAGGGAGGAAAAAGGGATGGAAAGAGGAAAAAAAAAAAAAACCAAGAAAAAGTGAGGCCACATGACATTTAAGGAGGGATTTGTGACATGACTGATAGCAAATTAAAGTAAGAGGGACCTGAGATAAAGGGACAAAATACTGGAGCATGACAACACAGAGATAAACCAAGCAGCATATTGCAAGTTTTCCTCAGTAACGAATCACAAAACAAACAGAAATAGACCTGGCTTCTGCCATAGTTACCGTGACTAAATGGAAATGAAAAAGTCAGTTTATGTCATAGTATGTTGCAAGAGAGAAAAAAAAATCATTTGGGTCTTGAGGTGTTTGCACTGTAAGCTGACAGATTCCAGTAAAGAGTTGAGGACTTGTCTGCTGTTGTCTCACCCTCCACCCACACCACAGCAGAACATAAACATTACGTGCATTTTGAGGAAAAAAAAAAAGAATGTCTCTGCAGTAAATCCAAGAACCAGACAAGAACTGAGGGAATATGAGATCTTCTCACAGCAGAGGAAAATGACATAATAAATCCCCTATATTTTTTATGATGGAAACTCTAAGTATTTTGAAAAAAAAAATGTGGCCAGCTGTATGAATATTCTGAAATAAAACATCATGTGAGAAATAAGCCACCCTCTGCTGCTCCCATGGAACATATATTTTTATTATAAATTAAATTAGTACTACCAGTAGTCTGAAAAAAAATTACAAACATTAATACTACTACAGCAGAAGTAGTGAGCTCCTTCATCCCATTGTTATTCTAAGCATGAACTTGATGCTCTGGGAATGTTTTAAAAGGGGAAAGATAATTTCTAAGAGCTGCTTTACATGATAGATGAGCACCTTACAGTCACAGGAATCTCTAAAGCTACTCATAGTGATGTAAACAAACAAACAAACAAAAAAACCAGAGAGGTTGTGCCATCTGGGACTGTTCCAATTCCATCAGTTGCAGAGGCTGCAGGGGAGTCAGGCTGTTCTGGTGGGGCCCAACTGAAAACCCTAATGCAGCCACTTCACGAGGTGCTGAACAATGCATCTTGGAAAGTGGTATGTACCCTCAGATTTCACTGGAATCATTATGAAGAGACAAAATAATAAAAAGAAAAAAAATCAGATTGTCAGGAAGTCAGAAATGTACAGGTGACCCTTTTAGAGGGAATGCAGGTGTGATTCAGCTTGTAGGAAGAACTGGCCATGTCTGCCTGTCCCCCCTGCACAGGAGCCTTTCCTACCTGAGCTCCAAATTGCCATTTGCTCTTTTTAATAGAGAGACACCAGAACCAAATATGAAAAGAGTCCCTGACATTATCACTGTGATTCTTTTAAGCTTCTAGGAATAATTTAAGGGGGAAAGTTAATAACTACAGCATTGACTTTAATCTTATTTGCCAAACTAAAAATATTTCAGAATTGGCTACAAACTGCTAGGAGATATTTCTTCTTCTGTAATAAACAGTTTATTGAATTCAAAAAAAGATTTATACTCACACTGACTAGCCACAGCAAAGCTGCAAACAGCTTGCTCTTTTGGTAAAATTTTGTTTGTGTGGGAATCCCAAGGTGATTGCCTTTAAAACAGCACAGCTAAAAATTTTTCCTTAGCTCAGTATTCTGATATATATCACTGATTATAATTATAAATATTTAGTTGCACTGTTATTTCACCAAAGTGAGCATATTAATTCTAGTCTAAAGAGATACCTTTTGTTCAGTTTAAACCCTTCCTCAGATGAGGTAATTTACAACACATACACTTAGGTGAACATAATAATATTTAGATGGAGAGGAAACATCAATGTTCATTATTTCACAATAATGTTATGTCTGTGGTTGCAACTGAAACTGTTTCAGTCACCCGTCCTGACAGCAAATGACAGCAAAACACATCCTCAGCCTCTGCTTAACACTGCTGGGCTGTCATAACACACCACAGTGTGCAAGCAGGTGGCTACAGGAAGAGAAACCAAGGTGCTGCACTTGCTTGCACAGTAAGCTGCAGTTACTGGAATATGCTGCATTAAGCCTTACTTTGTTTTAAATGCCCAAAGAGTATTTAAATAAAATTAAAAATACATTGCTATGGTCATAATTGAACCCAGCATCAGTACCAAGGCCAGGTCCTGAGCACATTTATCCAAGTTTTGGTATCTTTTTTCCCCCCTGTAATATGACATTAAGGCCATATGATTTCCTGTGAAACCCCAAACTATGGCCTTTGCTTCCTCTGCAATGATGTTACCAAAAAAGTTGAATTTTGCTAAATTATTCTGAGGTTCTCTGCAAAGACAGTGAGCACAGTTAGGTGGCTCATAGAAGTTGTTGAGAAGATAATGGAAATGTTCACAGTACCAGAACTGAATTCTTCCATTCAGCCCTGCAAAAGGCCTGATGGAATTTGCAGGTAACACTAGAGGCTCTGGTGGAACAGCTCTAAATGTAAATATTTCCTGACCTTGAATCTACACTGTGGGATGATAACAGACTTTCTCAGATGCTGAAGTGGCCACAATCCTTCACCAGATTAAGCTCCAAATCTCTCTCCTAACAAAAGATCAAAATTTGGCTTACATTTTCCTTCATCCTTGAGACTCTTCCCAATTATTAAGGAAGACATGAACTGCAGAAGTTAAAGTTTCACACACAAGAATTTCTTATATCTAATAAACTATTTTTAAGCTTGAAAATTATGTTGACTCTTAACTTGCTTCAGAGACTTGTGCCTGTTTTGCCCATCAGTTCTTTCCTACATGATGCACCCCAGCTCAGAGGCTGGCACAGAGTCTGACCAGCCAACCTGCAAGACCACCTGTAACACAAAACATCTTCCCTGGGTGCTCCAGTCCTTCCTGTAGTGCAATCTCTCAGAAAATAACTTTTTCTACAAAGGAAGAAACTCTGTCTTTAAAAAGGAACAAAGAACACTGCTAAATCAAAACATAACTCCACGCTTTTCTATAAATGAAATTATAATTATATAAGATTACATACACATTTAATCAAAGCCACTTTGATAAGTCAACTTTTCTAATTAAAACCAGTATTAGAATTCCAATTTTGAGGAGAGATTAGAAACATCAGAAATGTGAAGTAGTGTCAGAGGTAACAACCATAAATTAACTGTCAAACAGTATTAAGCCACTGATTTATCTATAATGAGCACTGCTTAAAAACATTAATGCATCTCTATGAATTTTTACCAATTTAACATTACTTTCATTTTAAGAGTTAACATCACTAGAATCCCCCTATGGAAAAGGCATTATGCACAACTAAGTATGCAGTTTCTTGCCACTGTGACTTATAGAAACTTCTGCAGGGAGAACTCCATGGTCCTGTCTTTGCCTGCTCGTTCAGACCAGCTTTAGGTAAAACAGAACAAAGTAAAAACACCAAAGTCTAACACAAAATTGGAATATTTGTGAATAAAAAATATTTTTTTTTCCCCCAGAAAACACTCTATACAGTAAAAATGCCTATTTGTTTAACTTTCTCCAGTGCTGAGGAACATCTTTAATCAGACGTTCCAAATTAATGAGGAATAGTGGGTTCATTATCTCATGTTTAAATATATTTAATCTTTGCAACTAAAAAAGGTATGTTATTTTCTGTATCAATCAGTACAAGGTGCACAGAAATTGCCTCTTAGAAGTTGAGCTAATTATGCTTTTAGGTGATCTGGAAAATGCATATATCCATATCCATTACAGTTTTTCACAAGTACATACGATGTTCTCATAAAAGCTTTTTGGCTTAAAAGAAAAGGAGCCACCAAGCATTTATACAGTAACAAAATCATTGTATCAACATATCACAGAGTCATTACAGCTAACAGCCTAACCATATTACTCTCAAAATTCCCTATTTCCAGGAATTTATAATGCAGCTGTAACAAATGGCCCTTGCTAAAACTTTATCAACAGGCTTATAATGCACCAGTAATTGTTTTCTCAAAGTTGAGCATGCAGAAAAGCATTATTTTTTGCTGTTTTATGCAACAGCTACATCTAAGAAATGACAGCGTTATTAATGTATACAGATATTTTGGCATAAAAGCAGTTTGTTCCTAACACTTCTTAAACACTCTCATTAATTTTGTACAGGCTCCTCAGCACAGACTGCAGCTATGAAAGGCTTTTTTTCAGAACAGAAAGGAAGCAGAACTAAAACAAAGAAAGGAATGTGGCTCATGCCTCATATTGTGATTATCTTTGCATTTTCCTCAGTATGTGGTGTGAGACTGCAGCTGGGTTCAAATGATACAAAATTCCCACCCTTGTGACAGGACAGTGGAGCTTTTTGTGGCTGGAGCTGCTGCCCACACACTGGACTGCCCTGCAAACTGCCTTGGCCTTTTTTGGCGAGATGGGGAGGAAAAGCAGCTCCACCTAAACAGAGCCAGCTCCTTCCTCACCCACTGAACGGCCAATATTCCATATATTCCACAGGCAACATGAGTGGGCTGGATCCTGGCTGTCCACAAAGCTGAGCTGTAACAAGTGAGGAAAAGCAGGGAGTGGTAAGAGCAAAAACCACATCAAAAATAAAAAGGCAGATTTCTCTGGTTAAAAATAATTTCAAGCTAACTTGGGTAATAACACAGGAGCGTAAAATCCACCAAGAAATTACTGCATTTAGTCTGAACAAATGGTTCATACACCTGACTGCACATAATATATTCAATGCAAAAACAGGCATTAAAACTGTAATTTAAAACTTGTTTCACCTTCCTTTTCCAGTTCAGTTTCAAACACCGTTGAACAGAAAATAAGCACAGTGTGGAAAGCAGGATGACTTCTCACAACATGACGTGGATCAGCTACCCAAGCAAGAGCCAGATTTTCAATTCCCCAGAAGAAATTGAAGCTGTCATAACTTCTCAAAACATCATATCCAGAGTTATGCACTGTTACATTGCCCTTTTTGTACCCACTGGATTAATAGCTGGCATATGTGTTTTGATAATTTTCATAAAGAATCATTTGCAGAACAAAAGAGTAAGCTTGGACTTACTTCTACACTTCCTATACTTCACCCTCAGTAATATCATAATGATTTTTTTCTCCTTTACTGTCATCAGCAGACCTGACTATTTAACAGCAACCCACCTTGCCTGTAGCGTACTGTCATTTTTTTTCAACTTTGGTTATTTCAATTCTCAGTATGTTTTCATTTTGACACTTTTCACACTATTACTAGAGAGATTTCCACCATCAACTGCTCTCTGCAAAGCCACCCAAAGACCCATCTTGTGTGTTGGGCTTGTACTCTCATGCACCTTCTGTTTGTCCCTGACAGAGGCAGTGCTGGTTGGCGCTGATAATTACCACCTGGAAGTGCACTGCCAGTTGGATCCATTATTTGCATGGCCTGAATACGAGATTGTTAAATTTATCTTTGGGTTTGGAATCCCGTCATTACTCCAGATCCTCTGTTTTACTGTTCTGTGGGCTAAAGAAGCACCTGCAGGAGCTCCATCCTTGCAGCAGCACATCCGCACCTACGCCGCCGTGTACACGATCAGCGCGACAATGTTTGTCTGCCGCCTGTTTTATAACGTCATGATTCTCTTCAGGACAGCACTGAAACTGCAGAGGAGCATTGGAACAACAAAGAATGAGCTTGTGATGAACATTGCAGAAATAGTGCTGTTCTGTGAGAGCTGTGCTAGTTTGGTAATTATACTATTTCTTCATAAACCGTGCAACGTTGAAGTACTTAAAGTCATCGAAAGGTGCCGAAGGAAAACCCCTGCCAACAATCACCTTGAAATACCAGAATCAGCCCCAGCCATTCAAAGTGGGTCTCAGTAATACCTGCTCTTCTAAACAACTGTCAATGCACTTTGCTTTTTAGCTTGTGGGTTTTGGTTTGGTTTTTTACTTCTTAAAAAAAAGGGCAATTGTTCCTTCTTTAGAACTCAAACTTGGCCTATCTTACAGATAGCAGTACTGGAAGAAAAAAGATGGTCAGTTCTAGTACTCACAGTGGAATCTGTAAGAAAACTTCCAGGGTCTGGGGCTGTTTGGGTTTTTTTTCATATATACATGTATATTTAAATAATCTACTTCTCTGCAAGCCATTGCTTCAAAGTCAGGTGGAAAGATGAGTACTGTTGCCATAGAACTGTGCTTCTGCAATATCAATGCCCTAGCAGAGCTGCAAACAAAAACGTGGCAGGAAGCAACTTTGAATAAAGGTCAAAATCTCTAGTCAGAGCATTTTCTCAGGTGTGCTTCCTCCTTTGACTTCTTACCCTTCAAACTATGTATTTCTATAACACTGGTATATATAATTCTAGTGGCAGCAGCAGTGAAGTTTTTGTCTGAATTCCTGTGCCAAAAAAAAAAGAAAGAAATCAAATTAACAGAAACATGGGACCATAAAGAAAAGCTTTGGGTCCTTTGTGAGGCACTGAACTGGAAAGATCAATAGGATGGCTAATTAAAACTTTGTGCAAGAATGAAAGCTTTTTGTTAATGTACTCTCAGCTTCTACTTTGCATTTAGACTTACAGCAATGATTGACTTAAGCCATTCCTGATGAGCTCATTCAGAAGTACAAAGTCATTGGAAGAGCCACATTTTCAGTAATACACAAAGTGAAAAACAGAGAAAAGCCAGCTCAGAACAGCAGAACTGAGGTGTATTTTTAATAAGGCAAACAAAACCCAAGCCCCAGTTCCTAACTGGAATCAAGGCTCTGCTAGAGACAAGCATTGTACATTAAGATGACAGTTGATGGGTAAATGGTGCAAAAAGAGGAAAAAATCTGAATTAGAATAAAACAGTTGTGGTGCAGGAGTTTGGATGAAGCCCTGCAGGATCAGTAGCTGACGCAGGCTGAGATGTAGGTGCAAAGCTGTAAATGCTTGCTTTGAGCACACTATTACTGCCACCAAATCTGGCCAGGAGCCACCTTAGGCATTTGGCTTCGGCTTCATCTTCTGTTAAAAAAGTGGAGAGAACGGAAACAGGAAAAGCACAGAATTGTACTAAAACTTGGATAATGACGTAGACTCAGATGGCAAAGTTACAAAAATACAGCACTGTGATGAGAAAGTAACTTGAAGAGTTCTGAGAAAAGCTATTTTGATGCTTCAATCTGTGCCTTTGTATGAAACTCAGGTGCTAATAGAACTGAGGGGTTTTTTGCAGTTATATCCTTTGAAAGATCTTCCTGATGGGGTCTTCCAGATTCGCGTGGGGAGCTGGTGTAAATCAGCACGGGCTGCCTAAGAGAGAACAGCAGGAACTGATTGATCAAGATGAGCATCTTCCACAAGCCAAGAGCCAAGTGCAGAAATGGAAGAACAATAATCATGCAGAATACAGATCAAGTATCTAGAGATATGGATCTAGTCTTGGACATCCAAATCCTGACAAGTATGGACCATGACTGCATCACATGCAAATAAAGGGCAACATGTAATCCGACTATGATTGTAAGGACCAACATTTCCACGAGATGTAAAAATCAGCTGGTAAGATGTCTGCATTACATTGTGTCAGCCTGTTCCCCTGTTCAATTTTGTTCTGCTGCCAGCACGAACAGATGGATAATTAAAGAACTCTACATATAAACAGATCATTATAGAACGTGGTCAGAAAGGAAGTAGGCAGATAAGAATCATCTCTTTGAACACAAGAGCCAATTTCATACTTGTGAAAGGAATTCTCAGATGGCATCAGAGGTTTTGTTTTGCACCTGAGAAGAGGGAGATTAAACAACACAGAGCAAAGATCAGCCTTGCAGAAAGAAGTCTGAAGAGATGAGTTGTAGGAGCTGTACATCACTGAAAAAGCTCACAGACTGAGTGAAAGAATATCTCAGAAGATGCAAGCTGTTTATCCCAGCTCAGAAAGTCAGAGTTTCAGCTCCACTGTGGATGAGGAGGATATTTTGTAGTATGGGAATGATGTGCAAATGTTTCTACCTTACTTACAGCTTCCATACATTTTATATTTAAGGATAAAAGAATAAATATTGTGTTGTTTCTGAGTTGCTTTGAAAGGTGCCTAAAAGAAAATTGAGTCAGTAAAAGCTGGCTGGGACCTGGAAAGTGATGTGATTAAATGCCAGTAACACACCTGTGAGGAGCCACAGGGTTGGGCAGGGCACACAGGTGCTTCATGATGCTCTCAGCAGGGTGCACAGCCAGAGCAGAGCCATACCCAAGTGTCACAGAGAAAAAAACCTGTAGGGCCTGTAGGGAGCTACTGTCAGATGTAGGATCTGAGAGTGAGCCCACCTTGGCAGAGTGAACAACTGTGTGTGAGTCTGTAAGCAGTCCTGGGGAAAGCTCCTGGCAGCCATCTGTGAGATGTGAGTATGTGTACTCTGATCTCCTCCCTGGCCACGTGGAAAAAACCTGAGTATTTTCTGGATGGCTGGTTATATTGCCATGAAGAAATCTCTCTGTACAGTGAAAAGACTTTGCAACTGAATATGAGAAAACAAAGGTAAGCAGGAGGAAAGAGGTTGAAAAATGCAAAACAGTAACTCAAATAGTTCAGAGTATAAATTTCAGCAATACATAAATGTTTTCATAGAATTAGTCCTGATAAAGTCAGAGCTGACATTAAAGTTTAGGGCAATGAACATGTGGTCCTAGAGAAAATCTATTTGCATCCAGCTAGAATATGAAAGCAAACACCCCTATGTGCAACAGGGAAGGAACACAAGCAGTTTCCCAAAATCCTTCTAATACAGATATGAGGGAGAAAAAAACAGCTTTAGCTAAGATTAAAAGTAATATTTTTTTAAATAATTAATAATCTAAAGAGTATTTTTAAGAACAAAATAAAATCTCTATGCTCTGAGATTTTTTTCTCTTATGCAACCAGCAGCTCAGTTGAACCCTCACTTCTCCCAGGCTTCACCCAGTTGTGAACAGTATGTTCCAGAAGAAACACAGCATATATTTTTATAGGCAGGCTGTCAAAATTAACTGAAGGGATCTACTGGAAAGTTCAAAGGAGAATATTTTACTTCTGTCTTGGTAATATTTGTATCTTTCCATGACTTTGGTCTTCATTTGAAAAAAACACTGTTCAGTAGACAAAGAGAAATTATCAGGCTGCTGAAATTAAATCTTGGATTTCTGAGCTGGTAACATGTTTTGGAAAAGAACTCAGGACTCATCATTACTGAACCAGCTGGCTCAAACTTGATCTGATCCCATTGCAAACGACATTTGAGCTAGAGACTGAACGTGCACATTGAATAACAACTCGAGCTGCTACATCCCTACATGTATTTCTAAGCCTGCCCTTAGTTACATTCTCATATTAAACTAACAGACACTGAGAGGGCTTCAGTATTCTTTATCTTGATTTTGAGGAAGCTGCAGAAAACTCAAGCAATTCAGCCAAAGTATTCTGTATAATGTGTCCACCATGTATGTTGCACAACAGATAAATTCACTATTGGATAGAATGAAAGAGTGCATTTCACTTCCACGGTACAAAGCGCCCGGCAAAGGACTGCCACACTCAGCTTCTAAAATAAAAATCATTGATGTTTTGCAAAAATCTTTTAAAACAGCATTTGAATAGAGCCTGAAGTCCTATGATGAGGCTTTGAGCACTCTGGTTTAGTGGAAGATGTCCCTGCTCATGGCAGAGGGCTTGGATCTAGATGATCTTTAAGATCCTTTCCAACCCAAACTATTCTAGGATTCTGTGATCTTTCACTAGACAATATTTTGTGGCCCCATTTAGTGGAATTTTTAGATTATCCCTTAAGAGTTTTGCAATATATGCTTTAAGAAAAATAAAAAGGCTTTACCAGAATAGTTTGAATGGGTTTGAATGGGTGTAGTCCCCGCAAAAGGAAAAGGCTGAACTTTTAAAAATTATTTTTAGTAAGAAAAATGCATTCTCAGAATTACTGGCAACTGGAAAGCCTAAATACACAAAATACACTCCATCCAAGCTTTTCTGAAGGCACAGAAACAATTAATTCTAGCTCAAACTAAGTTTGATTATTTGCAAGAGAGATTATTTGCTACTGAGGCTGGACAGGATAAGTATGAGGGTGCTCTAGAGCAGGGTAATGGATGCTGATTTCATTCAGAGGTTGAAAAAGGTGAGAGAGGACTTGGACATCAGTCTACCTGGAAAATCTCAGGAACAGTACCACAGCACCTGTATTTCCTCTAGAGATAGTTCCAGAAGAGATTCTCTTCTGGAGAATCACAAATTTTATTTCTTTTGAAATGGTTTCATTACAGTGCAAGCATTCCAATACAGTTTTAATTCCTGCTTCCTTCCCCTTCCATGCAATACAGTGCCTTACTCTTCAGCTTTCTATACCCTTGCCCTAATCTAATTTCTCCAGGACTCAACAGCTTCATACCCAAAACACTTCCACACTTCTGACAGAATCCAAGAGTCTCTTGCATCTTAGAGGGTTTATCCAGCTGGAGAGGCTGCCACAGAGTGCTGGCACAAGAGCTGGGATGCATCTCAATGCTGCTGGCTCCCATACTCACACCTCCCACCTTCTTTCTCCTCAGCTGCCACCTTCAGCAGCACAGTAACAGGCACATATGTTGAAGTCTGCTAAATTACACAGAATAACTTCTATTATACCCCAGATTAAGCCTCTTGGTGCACTGAAGTACATCACAACTGCACCAGTGCTTCTGAAAGACTCTCTGGTGTTAGACATGTTTACTGAGACATCTACAGAGCTTTACACACTGACTGCTATCTAAAAACAAACCAGAAAAATTCTAAAGGCTGGATTACTGAGGTCTGACATTATACAAATGCTACTGCACCAGTTGCTTTCACAGATTTTCTCAGCAACATCACAGGAAGGTAAAACAGGTGGAGCTTTAAGACTCAACACTGTCACAACTGTGACCAGGGATCATTAAGGCAGTCACTGTAAAGTCCTGGGGAATACTGACAGGGAAAGAGGAAAAGTACAATCTTCAGTAGCTGCTATACTTTGAAGTATTTTATGGAATACGGAAATTACAAACAGTGATCTTAAGATAGATTAATCAGTAACAATAATTTGACTGCATAAACAAGGGCCTGAAAATGCTGGGATCTGTTTTAGGAAACAGGATTCAGAGGATTCACACAATCATCTCACAAAGTATTTAGAGAAATACAGAACCCATTAATTACAATATAATAATATACAAAATTACTATAATACTAAAAATGACCTCTCATGCTTCACAGTTCTTCACAGCACAGAAAACAGCTACTTCATAGGTCGTTTGAAAGAGAATTTCCTCACAGCTCTGGATGTACAGCAAAATGACAAATTTCTTACCATGAATTCAAACAAGAAAATTATCATTCAGAATTATACATTTTATCTAGCTGATATTCACAGCTAGACAAGCAAGGACAGACAGACCAGCTGATTATCAAATCCAGGCCCCCATAATAACAAACAACGGACACGCAGAAGTGAATGTTACACATGAAGAAAAGTAAAAAATCCTTCAGGCCCTTGCAAGATCAGTGGAAGCTCTGAAGGACAGAACTAAGTACAGCAGAACCACATGATCAACAATCAACAATAAAGACTCTTTTGAATCCTGTTCTTTCATGACAGCAAAAAATTAAGACCTTCAAAGCTGGTATCACAAGATTTTTCCAACATTTACAATATTCCAGTCCTACAATGCAATCATATTTGTACACATCTCAAAGCAAAACACTTTAGGCTCTGTCCTTATCACCCTGTATTAAAACACTCCGTTCCACACACAATGGAAATCTTCTGTTCAAAATAATTTTACCAGCACCAATCTGCACAAACATTCTTTTGATCTAAATAATAACTGATTCCAAAGCTATTTACCAAGAGCCATCATGCAAGAACATCTTTAAAAACTGTTTTAATAGCACTGCCAAAATCCTCTATTCCTAGGCACAGTGTGTTGCAGAAAAACCAGCAAATAATGTATTTGCCTCAATGAAGGCAGAGGGCTTCTGCTCCCAAAACCACTCACGTAAAGAATCTCTGCTTCACTTTCCTACAGACAGGTCCTTTGTAACCTAAAGATATTTGACCACTGTAATCAGTGTCATACATCCACCATTACAATGACATGTTAATTGCTTACTCCACACTTCTGAAACTGTCACACTGTCTTCCTGAAGTCCTAAATGCTGAGATCCCATTCACCTCATTCCAGCAGCAGCAGAATGCTGCAGCAAAGCCACTCAGGGCACTGAACGTTCAGGTGTCAGATCAATATAACCACAGAAAACAACTGCCACAAATAAAATATTGCTCTTTTATGAGGGAGCTTTGACTTTCTTCCCATCCTAAGAATTCTGGCCACCAGTAGGTGGTGTTACTTGAAACGTCAAGTAGGTTTTTTTACCCCCTGCAGACGAAATGCAAAACTCCACCTGCAACACTGGTGTTTAATGCAAAACTGAGGCTCCTCATTCTCTGTAGGGTAAGCTTATTGCCTCCATGTGATTTTGAGCTGAGCAATTCTAAGAAATAAGAGAATGACAACATATACCTGAAAATTTAAATACAAACAGGCAAAATGGGATCGACTTGAAGGTAGGAAAACTGAAATTTATCTTCTCCATTTAGCAAATGACCCTTCTCAGATGCTTGATGCCTTCAATCCATTATTTCCCTTTAGACTGCCCAGAGGCTTTTAAAAACCACCACAAATAACAGAAATAATTGCTTTATATCTATGTAAAATATGCTTCATTGCAATCTGCAAATAAATCTCTTAATTATTGTTCAGCTGAGCTCTAGGTTTGAACGGACTATAAAACTTAAAAAAACACCAGAGGCAGAAAGGAGGGTGCAATTAGGCAAAATAAAACTGACAAATACAAGAGAAAGATGTTTGAGTAGTTCGAGTAGAAACGAAACCAGCAGAAACAGGGTTAATTCTAGCCTTATAAGGCTCTTCAGCAGCACTTCAACTGCACACAAATTAGAACAACCCTGGGAATCTATAAAGCTTGTTTTATTGCCAAGGACATGCAGCAAGATCTGCATTTTGCTCTTGTAAACTCTCTATTTAATAAGTTTTAAAGCAGAGTAAGACTTTTATATGATTTTTTGTTTTTACTGCTGAATCATCAACAGGTGGCACCCACTGCAGCTCTGCACACCTAAAAGCAAGTTTTTACCGAGAGGACAGTGGAAGTTGGCACATCCATTACGTGTGCACCCAGCAAGGAGCAGCCTGCTGCTGTCTGCAGGAAAACCAGCTCGGGAGAAATGGAATTAAGGTAAAATAAAGTGTTTCACAGTACATAGTTACCTGTAATGCTTTTAATTGCTTGGCTTTTGGCAGCCTTTCCGATGTAATTAAAATCTGACCACCTACGGACCTTTTAAAATCAATTGCTCAGGCTGTTAACTTATCATTTATTGTATTTAAATCTGTTTTACTGCCTTGTTCACAAATAAAAGGCTACATAAAGACAACGGTTAATGTCTGACTTCATAGCTGCTTGAAACAAACACTGAACCTTGTCGTGAGCGTAATTTCATATGGATATTTTAGCATGAAGATTTACACTATTAAAATGGTTCAAAACACAGCAACAGGTACTGGGAACTTATACCTGTTTAATTAAAACTCGAAGCTCTGGAACCTGTATCTTTATTTAAGTATCTGTAGCTATTTCTGATTACTGGAATACATTGAAGCAAACGCAGAGCTGTATTTCTGACTAAAACTATTCTAACCCTCCTACTCCACCAGTGGTCTGCTCTTTCCTCCCCCAGATTGCACCCTGGCAGGATTTAAGTCATCAAAATGGGGAAATGTGCATGAATTTTACTAGCGAACAATTTTTAAAATATATTTTCATGGAAATAAAATTCAGTGGTTTGACAGTAAGATGCAGATTTAAGCAATTTAAAATATTTAAAACTTAGCACAAAATAACTTGGTTTGTTATTTCCTCGCTGTTTTATTTGTTTGGGGTGTTTCTTGCTTGGCTCTTTCTTTTTTTAAATAAACTTCTAGCAATGCTTCAAGTGCATAACATTCAACATTTAGAAGTAAACAAATCTGATAACTGGTTATTTTCCATTACTACACGGAAGTCAGTGAAACTTAATAAATCACAACAGAAGACAAACAGTATAATAATGTTGGTGTATATCAATATGCTGCTTGTATTACCTTCATTTCTAAAATTTGCCTTTCCCTCCCACTGAAAGCAGCAGGAAACAACTGCTTTTCATCTCTGTTGCCTTCTCAGCCACAGACTCTGCTATTTATTACCCTTACAAGCTGACAAAATAAATATCTATGTATCTATATTTAAAAATACAGTTTTCCTAGATTAGGTTAAAGTCACTCATTTGATTTCTCTGTATTTCTTCATTTTTTAATACTGAAACCCTGACGGGCACACACAATTTTAACAGACTTGCCCTCATGATGGTATTTTGATCTAGAACAAATTTAAATTCTTTTAAATGAACCTTTGCATTTATAGTAGAACATGATGTTTTCCACAACCTCGGCTGTGATTTAAGTTAGCAGAAGCTAATGGCACATGGAACAGTGCTGGAATATGAGATTAATCGTTTTCCATTTGCAAATTGCAGGTCCAAGGATGTTCATTGATTATTAAAAGAAAACAAATGGAGCTAGAATTCCACTGCCTTCCAACTTGCATGAAGAAACATTGCTGCTGAAAAGCTTTTATTAAAGAGACCCAGTACCACCATGGTAAAAAGATTCCTACATGATCTTAAGGCATACAGGAACTGCAAATTCTCTTATTTAAAATGTATATAGCATCCTGTAAAACAAATTAAGACATTCACTATCTGTAGTATTACATTTCAGTCAGTTTTAAGTCTAATTAATCTGACTTTTAAAGCATTTTCATTTCCTATACAAAAGTCTGTATCTTTTTCAATTCCAACCAAAAATGCTTACTAAGAATTCAGTTGAAACCAACCAAAAATCTGATTTTTTTGGTATTGCCATCAAACTTTGAGTACTAACATCTTTTCTGCAGATATTCTAACCATGGAAACTTATTCTGCCTCAGTATCACCTGTTATATGTAACAGCACAACTTTTAACCTGAATGGATCCCATTTGTGTAACGAAAGCATATCCTCTAGATTAGCTGATAAATCAGAACACCAACAGTATGTTATTGGCCTTTTCTTATCATGCCTTTACACAATATTCCTTTTTCCTATTGGTTTTGTGGGAAACATTCTGATACTGGTGGTCAACATTAGCTTTCGGGAAAAAATGACAATCCCAGACCTTTACTTCATAAACCTGGCAGTGGCTGATCTCATTCTAGTGGCCGATTCTCTCATTGAGGTGTTTAATCTTGACGAGAAATATTACGATATCACCATCATCTGTACCTTTATGTCTTTGTTCCTTCAGATCAACATGTATAGCAGCATTTTCTTTCTGACATGGATGAGTTTTGACAGATACCTAGCCCTGGCCAAAGTAATGAGGTCCAACTTATTTCGCACTATGCAGCACGCTAGACTGAGCTGTGGGCTCATATGGATGGCATCCATTTCGGCAGCTCTAGTCCCATTTACAGCCGTGCACTTACAGCACACCGGAGAGGTCTATTTCTGTTTTGCAGATGTAAAAGAAATCCAGTGGCTAGAGATAACCCTGGGGTTTATTATCCCCTTTGTGATCATCGGTCTTTGTTACTCATTAATTGTTCGAGTCCTTATAAAAGCACACAAGCACAGGAGTCTCCGGCTGCGGCGACAGAAGGCTTTGCGCATGATTTTTGTTGTTGTCCTGGTTTTCTTTATCTGCTGGCTCCCTGAAAACGTCTTCATTAGCGTCCAACTTCTCCAGAGAAAAAGCGAGCCCGTCTCTTCAAACAGCCCATCCTTCAGGCATGATTATCCTTTAACAGGACATATTGTGAACCTAGCAGCTTTTTCTAATAGCTGCTTGAACCCCTTAATTTACAGCTTTCTGGGGGAAACCTTCAGAGACAAACTGCGACTGTACATTGAACAGAAAACAAAAATGTCAACATTGCATCGCTTCTGTCAGGCTGCCTTAACGTCTGTCATTCCTGACAGTAATGAGCAATCAGAAGTCTGATTTAGTATCATTGTGTAGAACATATGACTGTGAAGTTGTGCAAATAGTGAACAAAATGCTTGCTACTAACAGAAAAGAAGTGCATATGTGTGTGTGTATATATATATATTGTATCGCTCTATTGAGTATTGAAGGTTTATATTCAAAATGTTTTTATGACAAGACTTTAATGTAGAAGAATATGTTTTAGTCAGATTTATATTTAATTATGAACAGGATTATTAAAAGCTGAGCACTGAAGAAGCTTTATTTTGCATTATACATATATGAATGACGATATAAGAGAAAATTTTATCAACTTAGGAAGACTCTAGATGTAATCTGATTATCAGAGATGATACTTTGCTGGTGTATATAAGGTACTTCCACTTAAATAATGAAGCTGCCATAACAGTGAGGAAAAATCATTACAACATATTGATGTGGAGATGCAGAAAACATTGATTTTTTTTTCACCCAAACATGTTAAGATGAATGACTTTGCTTACAAGAACTACATGGTACTATCATCACTGTATTCTAGCATGTCTTCCATGATTAAGTTTTTGATCTTAATATAATCAAGCACAGTGATGAGTTTTTGTCTCCTAAATGTAATCTACTGTTTACATCAGTACTTGATCAAAACCAAAATCATCTGTAACTATAGTGCTCATCTCAAAGACCTTCACAGAAGCAAAATATAGTGCTTCATTCTCTTTTAAGGATTGACCCTGATGATCTCTCTCAGAACAAACATAATTGGCATTTTTGTCAAAAATGCCAGTGCACCAACATTATTCACACCTGCCTTCAGATTTGAGTGCACATTGCACAAAGTCTCTTCACATTCCACGACAAAATGCTGATTTTTAAGGAAGTGTCACTTTCTGCAAAAGACATTGTAGATATTGTGTAGATATTGCTTATGAAAGTGACAGAAACCTCCAATTTTAGGAAGGAAGACCAAATGTAATGGAGTGGGATTATCAGATCTGAACTTCATGCACACCCATCCCACCTCCAGAAAGCCCCAGCCTTTCGAGACTGTAAAGATGCATTTTAGATGCTTTGATCATTTGAAGATTATACTAAGCAAACAAATGATAGCACCACTTACTGGAAAACAGTAGTGTTTCTTTCCTTCTAGCAAATAATTGGGTTGTAAATCTGATTGATGTTTAGCACAGGTTACTCCTGGACTTGTTCAGAGGAAGCTATACAGTTCCTAGAGATTAGTGTGCAAGATCATTAAAATATCACTTGCTGCATCTCTCAAGTGAACAAACTCATTTCACTTCTGTGCTTGACTGAAGCACCAGAACTCAGCAGAATAAGATGTTCTGTCCTATTTTCAAATGTCATATATTAATTAATTAGCACAATAACAGATTTTAAAGGATTTTTAAATGTAGACCTTTAAAACAATGACTAAAGCTACTAAAGCAATAAAGAAAACAGTGAAAATTATGATTCCACTCATATTTCTCATGAAATATCTTGAGCTTCTCAGTGGAAGTTTTGGCCACAAAAGACTTGACCTATAAACAGAAAGGCCACAAGACGATGATGGCTGAATTTGAAATAGATAGCTGGATATTCCTGCAGCTCCAACAGGAACAGCACTGTGGAGTCTGAGGCAACTGCAGATTATTTCCAAGTGATTGCTAATCACAGTCTAACGAAAAAAGTGTTTAGTTCCATCCTCTCTGCACAACACCAAGCAGATCTCTCAAGAAAGATCCAAGCGTAGAACAAGTTGCTAAAATACAGTTAAGTCATCTCCCACCACTGTGCTGCACGACACACAGCCCTTCTCCCTCAGTACTTTTAGCCACAATTCCTCAGGTCCTAGGGACTGCCAATAGACATTAACCACACCATTAACGATGGCTATTTCAGACAACACCCAGCTGAAGGAAGGGATAATTGTTTTGGCAATGCAATTCTGAGAAGACAGACACATCTTGAACTTAGAGATTTATTAGGTTTGTGCAACCCCGACACTTGCCATGAATAAAGAACTTTGGGGTTGCAGGAATACACTTTCCCAATCGTAGTTGTTGCTTATTTTGGTTTTTTAGGAATAAGATCCTTTCCCCTTCTGCCTCCTTCCAATACAAGTCTATGGTACAAGCCTTTCTGCTACCCCTGCAGAACACAAATCAAGAAAGTCTTTGTGCAGAAGCTTATAATAATAAACAAATAGCAATAGCAAATGCCTGCTCATGCATATTCTAAAGCAGTTTGTTTCTAAGTGATCTTATTCAGTAATTTACAGTGAAATCTAGGAAAGACCAGATTACTACAGCATTAAGAAAACAATATTTACTCAACCCGAAACAACCTGTTGCATGTTTAAAACTAAATTACAAACCTAAAGTACCTGATGGGTTCCCTACTGCTGATATTTTGGGACAGGCTTATGAACTGTGCCTGAAATTACTAAATTTAAACATATTTCTTACTTTATATGCAAAGCACTCTCCCAGCTGAAAAAACTGCACACTTATTCCCAAAGCTTTTTTTTTTTTAAACAGTAACTCTGTACAAAGTAATATTTACAGAAATGTCATACAACTTCCATGTGTTTATGTACACAACATGCTTTCTGCAAACCAGCATCTTGCAATAACTCGTGACTATGGCTTATCCATGCACGAAAAGGATCTCAGCTTGATGTGCCTTTTTTTTTAAATTTCAAAGAACATAATCACCAGTAAATAAAACCTCTTCTAGAGTGTAGAGGAAAAAGGGAATAGGAGCAAGAATTGCTATACAACTCCTTCACTTTTTTATCTCTGGTCTCTCAAATTGTTTCATTGCTGAGTTGAAGGAAAACATTCCATATGCCTTTCTAAAACACTGGACTGATGACAACTATGAGATTTAGAAACCTGTTTATCACAGTTGTTTACAATCTTTGCTGCAATACTCAATATAAAGTTTCCAGACATGAAAAGTCTAGTATTAGGAAAAGCTCACAGAAAAGAGGAGAGAGGGAATAATCAAAAAATCCCTGAAACCATTAACTGCTTTTGAAAATAGTACTTTAGCACAAGACTGCCTTGAATGCACAGGGTATAACTTAATATCTAGAAACAAAATAAATGCAAACAGCACAAACTAGCACCAGTCTGAACCTGATGCAACTGAAAGCTTTCCTTAGCTGTGTAAAAAGATATGAGAAAAAGAATTATGTGAGACCTCTTTAACATGTTAAGGAGATGCTGTAACTTTGCATTCTTTTGACAGTTTTGGGAGATACACTAAATACCAACTGTGCAGACACAACATCCACCTCTCAAAAATGCAGTGTCTGTCAGTCTAAAGATAAAGCTTGATTCATTTATGAAGAGCATTACAGCATGGGAGGGCATGTGACAGAGAATTTGAATCAATGAGTCAGGCGATCCCACATTCTGTGCAAGGCTTTGACATAAGATGGGCAAGATGCAACAAAAGTCACCTCTCCCTTCAAAAACTTGAAAAGAAATTGAGCACAAAGTTTTACAAGAAAACGCCTGTAAAATTTCAGACTAAGTATCTGTGTTTCAAACAAAATTCACTGCCTGTACAGTGCAGGCTCTAATCTTTTTTCCAGCCATCAAGTTGTGTTAGAGTATAACTGAATTTTTTCCCGTGTAAGGATTTTGCTGTATTCTCTCAGCTGTTTATTAAGACTGCAAAAGGGAAAAGGTTGTCTGGACAATTTTAAATGGTTAGGATTGTCACATAAAAAATGTGTTAAAGAGTGGTTTACCGTAAGTAAAAGCATGTCAAGTTCAACCCTGATTATCATTAATTCCATTGGAACTTGTTTCTGCATAACTAAAAACAAGTGAGTGTATGAAGAAATAGGTTTGAATTTTAATAGCTACTTATGAAGGTGAAGCAATGAATTAATTTGATTTTGGTTGAAAACAACGAAGATAAGGCTTGATTTGAATTTAAGGGACAGTGTCTATCCTTCCCTTTCACCCTAAGTCTTACCTTACCCATTCAGACCATCAGACAAACATTGAAAGTTTTCACCACAGAAGAGCATGGGGTCAAATTAATTGTTTATTTGTTCTTTTTTATGGTAAAACAGGAACAACATGTGATGGGGAACAAGTCATTTTTAAAACATGCACACAGAACACCTTTCCCCTATACCCTTAAGCTCTGCTGTCAGGGAGGTTGTGGTACACGCCCTGTGCTGTGTTTCAGAGATACCAGATATGAAAATCTGAACACCCTCCAGTCATATTTATAATTTAGGTGTCCTTTCTTCAACAGTATTGTCCAAACTATTCATTCCACAGTGACTTTTATTACAATAAACTTTTAACCCTTGGGTTTGGGCTTCCTTTTGGACTTCCATCACACAGCAGCATGGCACAGGCAGGAGCTAAGAAAAAACAGCTGCATATTGAGCCACCCAAGGTGCCAACACAGGAGCAATGCCCTCTGCAGACTGGGCAGGATCAGCTCTACTTTCAACTCCCTTTCTTACATGCTACTTCATTTCTTTTACAGAAGTCCACTAAATGCCATTACAAAATATAAAGATGATTGTCTGAGTCTCACACAGTCACCTGTGATTTAGGATGGCTTTTGAAACTGTTCAACCCCCACAATAAAAACCATTTTCAAGTTTCCAACCTGTTTTCTCACATTGTTTAAACAGTCTGCTACAGGTATACACAAGACATTTCAAAGTTCCAAATTAAACTACTGAGCTGTTCACTACCAAAAAGTAAAACCCTATCTTCTCAAAATAAATATTTAATGCAGCAGGGTGAGCCTTTCCAAAGCAGCAGCTTTGCTTACAAGTCCCAGTTCACTTGACCTGCAAGCAAAATCACTCAAGAGGTTTAAGACCTTTTCAAATTGCATTCACTGTGTTTTCTGGAAGGACTTTAAAAAAACCACGGGGAGAAAAAAAGACATAGTAGAGAAACAGGAAAATTATTAGGATATTGTTAAATTATCCTTAGAATTGGAGTTAAGGCGATTTTTACAGAAAGAGCTCAGTGGCAGAATTGCCTAATAGTGCTGGAGATAGATTTGTTTTCTGCCTCAGCAGCAGAAATGTTTCCTTTCCCAGGCATTCCCTCAATAGAAACAGTAATATAATGGCAAATAAGATTTTCTTCCTTTCATTCTCTCTCCATTCAGAACTACAAAAGAGAAATAGCCCGTACCTGACTACAGAAACCTTTTAACTCTTGTGCTCCAGAGTAACGAGCACACAGCAAACTGAGGAGCAAACCAAGGAAACAGCTCACTTAAACAATTGATACCATTCCAAATATCCACCTGACAACTGAGTATCAAGGTGGGAAGAAGAGACAGAGAGTGATGTGTGGGGGAACTCAATTTATAAACTAGCTTGGCTTACAGAGCCAGAATAATTACTTCTGATATTACAAGCTCATTCTCTACTAGAGTGAGAAACATGACATGCTATTTTCTTATGCTAATTAAAGCTGCCTGCTGATGGGTGACACTGTTGGGGTGTTGTGGGATCAGAAGCCCAGGCTTGCTGGCAGAGGTGCTGCTGGAACTGACACAGAACCCAAACATCCATTGAGCATCCTCAGCCCAAAACAAGGAGTGCATGAGGACCCATGGAAAACTGACCCTGCTGATTTGTGCTCTTCTTGACTCTCACTGCGTGAGACTTTCTGGACCTTGGCCAGAGATTTTATTCCAAAACCTATCAGATCATGACAGTTGCCTGCTCCTACTCTAAGCTCAAACTAGATCATGACTTAATCTAGACAAATGTAAAGAAGACAGCCATAGTTTAAGCAAAGTATGGTAAACTTTACAATTTAAAAAACCCCTACTTCACAAGTTTATTAAAAGATGTCTTTGAAGTAAAAGCTTGAAAACCACAGAACATGGAATTTTCATAATAAAATAGGAAAAACTTTCTATTCGAAAGGTAATTTGAAAAAAGAATCAGCCAGCGAGGTGCATGAGAGCTCCTAAGTCCACAAGAAGCCCATGACCAATTTCAATGACCTCTGTATTACAGCTCAGTACAACAGTTCTGTAAGCAATTAGTTATTTTTCAAGTGGGTAAGGATTAATAACTCTCCTTTAGGACTCAGTCCACAGTGTAAAGGTAGGATGGAATGACAGTAACTAAAAGCATGCATTTTCCACAGATACTTTAGATTTTCTCTTCTCTTTATATAACCACTCTGCTCCTTTCTAAGCAAAGCAGCTCTAAGCCCTCAGTACATTCTCTGAACAGCTTTGACATCTTTCAAACTCTGAGATGGTAGGAAGAGCTGTCTGCCCTTATGGATATGCTATTTGCAATAGCCTGCTTTACAGATGCAAATTATTAAGATAATGCTGAGAAATGTAATAAAACACTGGTTGATGATCTTCTGTTTGATGTCCTACAGAACTCCTGTGGGATTCAATTAGAAATAGGTAAATGCATTCAAAGACAGAGTCTGGTTTCCTTG